TCAGGTGCCCCCAGGTAACCCCCAGGTAACTTCTCCATCTGTTTCTGACCATCAAGACCACCCTGGACCCCCAAATTCTCCATTAAATCCCCAAATTTCCCTTTCAAACCCCTCCCAAATTCCCCAGGTGAGCTCAGGTGAGCTCAGGTGCGCCCAGGTGCGCCCAGGTGACCCCGGATCCCCCCCACAGCACCAAGGCCCCCCTGGACCCCCAAAATTCCCCTTAAATCCCCTCCCAAATTCCCCAGGTGAGCTCAGGTGATCTCAGGTGAGCTCAGGTGAGCTCAGGTGAGCTCAGGTGAGTTCAGGTGAGCTCAGGTGCCCCCAGGTAACTTCTCCATTTGTTTTTGACCATCAGGACCACCCTGGACCCCCAAATTCTCCATTAAACCCCCAAAATTCCCTTTCAAACCCCTCCCAAATTCCCCAGGTGAGCCCAGGTGAGCTCAGGTGACCCCCAGGTGAGCTCAGGTGGGTTCAGGTGACCCCGAATTCCACCCCCGCAGCACCAAGTCCCCCCTGGACCCCCAAATTTCCCTTTCAAACCCCTCCCAAATTCCCCAGGTGAGCTCAGGTGAGTTCAGGTGAGCTCAGGTGTGTTCAGGTGATCTCCAGGTGATTTTTGTCTCCCTTTTTTACCACCAAGGCCCCCCTGGACCCCCAAAATTCCCCTTAAATCCCCTCCCAAATTCCCCAGGTGAGCTCAGGTGATCTCAGGTGATCTCAGGTGCGCCCAGGTGATCCCGATCCCCCCCGCAGCACCAAGGCCCCCCTGGACCCCCAAATTTCCCCTTAAACCCCAAATTTCCCCTTTGAACCCCTCCCAAATTCCCCAGGTGACCCCCAGGTGAGCTCAGGTGAGCTCAGGTGAGTTCAGGTGAGCTCAGGTGAGCTCAGGTGTGTTCAGGTGAGCTCAGGTGTGTTCAGGTGTGTTCAGGTGAGCTCAGGTGCGCCCAGGTAACCCCCAGGTAACTTCTTCATCTGTTTCTGACCATCAGGACCACCCTGGACCCCCAAATTTCCCCTTAAACCCCCAAATTTCCCCTTCAAACCCCTCCCAAATTCCCCAGGTGAGCTCAGGTGAGCTCAGGTGACCCCCAGGTGCGCCCAGGTGAGCTCAGGTGCGCCCAGGTGCGCCCAGGTGACCCCGATTCCCCCCGCAGCACCAAGGCCACGCTGGCCAGCGGGCACTTCATGAGCGTGATCAACGTGCTGATGCAGCTGCGCAAGGTGTGCAACCACCCCGACCTGTTCGAGCCCCGCCCCGTCACCTCGCCGCTCGTCACACCTGGCCTCAGCCTGGGCGCCCCCGCGCTGGTGCTGCGGGCGCTGGAGCCGCACCCCTTCCAGGTGAGACACACCTGGGCAGGTGAGAC